TCGGTAGAATTTTTTCGATTGTGACGTCATTTTCGGTTTGGTAGCGCGAAAACCATACGAGTTTTGTTTACAGAACTATGGGATTTCCTCCTGTAACGTTCATGGGACTTCTTTCCAGGAGGGAGTCAGTATGAGAGGTTTTATAATATCCTAGGTATGTCCCAGAGAAGATCAAGGATTTTTACAAGACATACCTCTACAGGACCTCTACTAAATGTTCGACTCGAATATTCCCATCAAGACGTTGCTAGTATGCACTTGTACTATCTGAGTGAGTCGCTCCGTAATTTTTCTAGATAATTCAAGAGCCGGTATAGCAGCTCAAATTTTGATTATTACCGGCTGTTGGTTGAGTTGCTCAGTAATTTTTCTAGATAATGAAGAGCTTGTACCTAATAAGTCAAATTTTGTGTATTACCGGCTCTTGAGTAGCTCGATAATTTTTCTAGACAATCAAGAGCCAGTAATAGTTCAAATTTTGATTATTACCGGCTCTCGGGTCCCTTGGTAACTTTTCTAGACAATAAAGAGCCGGTAATGGGTCAAATTTTAATTAGTACCGACTGTTGAGTCGCTCAGTAATTTTTCTAGACAATCAAGATCCGATAAATAGTTCAATTTTTGACTATAACCGGCTCTTGAGTTGCTGGGTAATTTTTCCAGATAATTAAGAGCCGGTAATAGTTTAAATTTTGACAATTACCAGCTCTGGAGTTGCTAGGTAGTTTTTCTAGACAATCAAGAGCCGGTAATAGTTCAAATTTTGATTTTATTACCGGATCTTGAATAGCTGGAGAATTTCTCTGGACAGTTAACAGCCGATAATATTTAAAATTTTGATTTTTACCGGCTCTTGAGTTGCTGGGTAGTTTTTCTAAATAATCAACAGCCGGTGAAAGTTCAAATTTTGCTTATTATCGGCTCTTGAGTCCCTCGGTAATTTTTCCAGGAAATCAAGAGCCGTTAATAGTTCAAATTTGGATTATAACCGGCTTTAGCCCAGATAGTACAAGAGATCCCATATAAGTCTTAACGTTCCAAACGGAGATTCTGAGCGTTTCGGAAGTTTCGCAGGACGTCCGCAAACGACTAGTCTAGGTAGGTATTTACATTTATAACACCCTGAGGACTTTCGTTTTAAATCCCTTACCCGAACGTTCCTGGAAATTCATATTTGAATATCCCTAGGAGTTTTTCTTTTTTCCTTGTGAATTCCCCTTTAAATATCACATGTATGTTTTTTCGTGACCTCCTTGAATGTTGTAATCTTAACATCCCTAGGAGTTCTCTTTGAAGGTTCGTAGAAGTTTTGTTTCACACATCCTCATCCCTCAGTATGAGAAGTTTTGTAACAAAATATATCCTAGGTATGTCTCAGGGAAGATCAAGGACTTTTAAAAGACATAGGTACTCGGGACTTACTAAATGTCCGACCCAGATATCCCCAATACGTTGCTAGAATGGCACTTGTGCTATCTGGGTATGCCTTCAAGTATCTGGTACCTGCCAAAATTAAGGTAGAATAGAGACCCTCATCTATCCTCAATTAGATTATTGTTGTGTTGTGTATGTGAGCATTTCCTTACAGCAACCCAGCTACAAGACGGACATTTCTAAACATTGGCTGTAATTCTCAATACCTAAACGGGACCCCCTGGGTTATTCAGGTAGTTTTGTCAAGCTGATAAAAATATGAAAAATACTTAGACGACACTTCTCTTCGGCTCGTGGTTGTAAACCAAGCGTTCCTTTTTTATCTATCCTGTATAATTGAATAAAATAGATACTTTTTGGGTGATAGGAAAACCTTTTATTTCATTTTCCTCACATGTATTACAATTACCTACCTAACCTTAGAATTTGAGGAACAAATTCAACTAGCCCAAAATGCATATGTACCTACGATTCATTTATTGTATTAACAAATTCGATCATATTACACTAGTTAACAAAACTTTGTCCTAGGAAAGTCCTATTTAAATTCCCTTAGGTCGGGAACGTTCCTGTCCTAAACGTTACGTCCATCAAACATTCGAAGCCAACATTTAGACCCATAAATAATACATATATTCCAAATTCAAATCCTTGTTCAGTGGAACCTAGTTCACACTTAAATATTCCCATCTAATTAAAATGCATTGCGGTCAAAATTTCAGTTGATTGACAAAAATGCATTACAAATGAGAAGGGAGAAGGTTCAGGTTTGAACTACGTTCAACCGAACCAGAATTTTAGCTTGGAATGGTATATGTGTGGGCCTTTATCCTTAGAAAACTAACCCTTTAAAAACACACGTAGATACTAACCTACCCTACGTAATATTTACGTTTTCCATGTTTTTAGGTATTTGTGTGTCTGTGTGAAATGTAAGTTTTACTAGGTGTGTCTGTATATATTATGTATGTTTTTAGTTGTGTACATACATGGAAATTTTGAGAAATAATCTTAGTTTTTTTTTAATGAGCAATACTTAGACCAAATTTGCGTTCATATTTGCTCAAAAATATCGCGAAATTCAAATAAAATCAATAAATTTCGTAAAAAAAAGTACTAACCCACGTAAATTTTACGTAGTGTATTTTTGCGAATCTATAAGCAGACGTGAAACGACTGGCATTTATGTAACAAAGGCGATGTCTGGTCCTTCTGGTATTGGGGGAAGCACTCTTGAAATTTAAGCGGACTAATCACATATTTGGGAAATGGCAGCATATCAAACAAAAAGCACACGTAAAATTTACGTGGGTTAGTATCCTAGGGTTATCGTTGTTCCTAAAACACCCCTCTTAGAATATTCTAAGAACGTCCCTGGAACATCTCTAAAAAGTCTTATGGATGTTTTCGCAGAACGTTCGAGGAAGGTCTTTTATTGACTTGAAGACGTGTATGTATGGTCAGAGAACATTCCAAATCTCTCTAAAAATGATCTTGGAACGTTCCCACGGAACGTTCCGAAAACGTTACATTTGTATACAAACTCCATACAGGGAACATTTCGCAAATGTTTTGGAACGTTACAGGATGTTCAAGGAACGTCTAGTAAGTCGCAAAGGAATGTTCCAAGTACGTTTTTAAAACTATGTTGTGTTTGTTGGGATATTGCTAACGATATGTACCTACTAAAATACGAAAACCGAGTTAATCTATTTCTTGGGATACTTGTGTACAAAATTTTGAAAAGTCAATGCCCAGTGTATTGGGCGCGTTATCTAGTTGCCAGAGAAGATTTGCACAATCTGAATCTTATACTCCACGGAAATTAGACTTCCGCCGCGGAATGAGGCCGGAACAAGTTGAATTTTTACAGAGACCTCCGTTTTGCTGTTCTAATGAAACACAAAAAAATCTCATATGCCTACTCTTGTGCGTCTTGAGATATCGAAGGTCAAAGGTCATGAAAATTAGTTTTTCGCGAAAATCTCTAATACACGTCTTTGAATCTTCTTTCAATACACAAACTTTCACTTGGTAGTACTAAATTGTGTGGCTCAGTTGTCTTTGAGATTTGTATTTACGACATCTTATGGACGCCATCTTATTTACGACATCTTATGGACGTCTTCAAAACGTCTTCTAGACGTCTTTTTTTGGTCTTCAGACGTAATGCAGTCTGGGCAATTATTGTAAAGATAACATTATCACATTTAGTGGCTGGTGAATACAGTGAAAGGGTTTAGGGTAACATTCATAATTATCATTTTAACGGAATAATAAGTTTTATCTGAGCTTTTTCTTTCTAAAATATTGAATTGTTTAACCAAATTACTTATTAGGTGAATGTTGAACAGATTCTGGAAATTTATTTGTGGTCCTTGCCCAAAAAAATCATGTCAGAGAAGTAACCTATTTTTAAACAATTATTATAGTCTCAAAATGATTGATTTGCAAGTCAATTTTCGACCTTTATACAGAGTAATTTTTCATTAGAACAAATAAAAAACTTGAAGGCAAATACCTGAAGCTTAAATCAACTAAGAATATAAAAAGTAAATTATCAACTATTATAGGTAATTTGATTTTATTACAGGTCATGACTTCAATAATAATTTTATATGCAATTTAAATGGATAATTTAGTTTTCTATTTTTGAACTGTTCCGTAAAGGTTTGTCATAAAGATTGCCTCACCTGATAAAATGCATACATGATGAATTTATTACATGAATAACGCTTTAGCTGCTAATCCGTTTCATAAGAAATTATTTACACAAAAAAAAAAATGTTGAACTTAATCACCTCTATCTTGAACAAATTCAATTATTATTGTTCGGAAAGTTCAAATTATATTTACTTATTTCAAAATTCTTGATAAGTTTTTTGAGCAATAAATAAATAGCTACCTAATTTAAAAAACGTGAGATTGTGCGAATTTGTTAGGTACCTATTGATGAAATTAAGTGAACATTTTTGATATAGGTACCTACTACCTACATAGGTATGTATATGGGTAAAGAATTCAAAATTTCTAAATGTAAATTATTATGAAGAAAATTCTTAATATTTTATAAAACATGAAATTTACCTACTTTTAATTTAGATGCCTACAGTCAAATTTCACTAGATTTTATATCTCCGACTCATTCATTAAGTACCAAAATCCTCGCACACGCACGATCGTAGGAGAAGTCGCGGTACCACTGCCAAACCTCGAGCTAATACTATATCGTTAGATGCAAACGCTATCAGTTCGATAATTACGTACTGATTTATGCAATAATAATTGATCTTTTAAAATATTTTAAACATCATTTAGTAAGTTTTAGTTAATTTATGGTAAATATTTTTTAAGAAAAGAACAAACTTGAGAATGGCAATTTCATTTTTTGTCCATGACGAAAAAAAAAAAAATATTTGCATTCAGGAAAAGTACATCTTGAATTATTTTATTAAACCTGAGTGAGAGAATTAGGTATCTTCAGAAGTTTAGAATCTTGTCCCATCCAGTCAGCCAGCTTCTACATTGTTCAGGAATGATCAGAATCAGTAAAAAAAAAAGACCAATTCATTATTATCATTATTATTATTAAATAAAAAGACACTGTAACACTATTATTTAATTTTGTGTTATCTGAAAAGTAGATAAATTAGTGGAACATCCAGGACAAGTGTGCAATATATCGTGTACAAAAATATCGCAATCGATGCAGAAGTATCTTCTACATGTTGGACATTGGTAAACCTAAAAAAGTTGTAATAAGTTTAATGGTTTGCTGTGCATTTTATTGGCCAAAACATGTCTTTATACCTGTTTATCTTTTTCATCAAAAGGTTTCTGACAAGAGTAACAGAATTTAGCTTGACTCGCAAATGGAAATTCCTTAAAATTGGGAGCAGGAAACAAGTGATGATATGATCTGGCTAAATGTGGAGCAGACGCTAGAGTTAAACCACAAGCTCTGCATTCCACAGGAAGCTCACAGTACTTACTCAAACATTGTGGACAGTAATAACCATCGGTAGTTAATTGACTACCTTCATCTGTGCTATCCACATGACTAGAAAAAAAAAAGAAACATTATTTAAATCAGTTTCGAATTTGCCTGCTAGAAACAAATAAATAAATGAAATAATTCTTACCACATGCACATAGTTAGAGGCTCGTTAGATCCTTCAGTAGTCATTTGATGAGGAAATCCCATTTTTATTAAGCTGGATTCCAAAGTAGCAGCTGCCGGAGGAGGTTCAACTTGTTGAAATAGCAAATCCTTGAAATGGCTATCATCTAAAATCACATTGTAGCTGCCTTTAGATTCATTTGCTAAGGTACGGCAAACATGTACTTCTGCTGCTAGGCCTATTATGGAGCATCTAATGCCTTCTTGTATTAATTTCTGAAAATTGTATTATTATTATTATTGGTACCAGAGCAGAGTATCCTATCAAACATCAAGTTCTGCTAGGGAAATCTAAAATTATGACTCTGCTGAATTTTATATAGACAAATCGTCAGTTGATAATAATTATTTTAAAAGATGTGTCATATTAATTATGTACCTACTTTTACTTTTCATGCAAAAAAAATCTATTTGCAATAGTTGAATGAAAAATGCTCACATATTAAAGCAAATGATTTATAGTTATAGTTTGTCGTAAAGCAAAATAAATAAATTACCTCCAATGTAGTATTAATATCAGTTGGATCACAAGTAGTTAAACTTCCCATTATGACAAGAATTTCCCTGCTCGCGTGCGATGGCAATAATTTTAAAGATGAGAGAGCCTGTTCCAAGCCATTTTGCAATGACGGTTCTCCAACTAAACGTGTTTTGGTTAACGTTTTCAGGAACTTTATGTGTTTCCTAAAGTTTCCACTCAAATCGCTAGCTTTTTCAGCTCTTTTATTTTTCATTAGGATGATTCCCATTTGACTGATCGGATTTTGATCGAAGAATTCTTCAATGAACGCTTCTAATATCTACAATGGAATGCGCAAAAATAAACAATAAAATAGGTACTTTATTGGTGCTAATTACCTTCAACGTACAAACCATTCGAGTAGGTTTCAGATCTTGACTAGACATGGATTCAGAACAATCCACAATCAAATATATATGTCTCATCATTCCTAGTTTAGTTTTACCTTGTTTCTGTGTTTGCCTCTTTCTTTTAGCACGTAGTATAGTGTCCGCTATGGAGGCCTCAATGAAGCCATCATCGTCTTCTTTGATTGCCTCCCTAGAGAAAAAGTAATAATGTGTCAATTAACTGAGTTATATTTTAAGACTCATAATTTGGAAGTTTCAAGTCTCACGCATAATTTCTTATTGTGCAGCCTTTCCTCAAATTGGTAATTATTTTCTTTGTTCGATAACTGTATACGTTTGTCATTTCCTTTTTTTTTGAAACTTCACTGTTAGATTATGAGAATAAGGATTTCTGATTTGACTTGACTAGGTATATCCTGATTCCTGAGGTACGTTTTGTTAGTTTTTAGCGATGGGTAAATCGCCAGATAAATTTGTGCAATGAATACATGGAGTACAAAGGAAACACATAAGAATACAAAGGAATACGTAAGACTACAAGAATAAATAAAAATACATATGACTACATACATATATTGGAGTACATGAAAATAAATGAGAATACAGGCGATTACAAGGCAATATAAAGTTCTACAAAGACGCGCATGTGACTGAGTGCTACTGACAGAAAATATGCTGCCTTTAAAAGAACACAGTAAGCATTGAGGTAAACATGATAGATAATTTAGTAGTTTTGATAAAAATATCGGCCATTAGGTATAGCAAATGAAATAATTCAATCGTTTGGTAAGTTTTATTATACATCGAATAATACAATCTTGAATATGAAGAAATTATAATAATTGTTGAAATTCATAGATACCTATATTGTAAAACTAATTATTATTGAGCTAATTATTAGAACTGTTTTGTCTTATAATCTGATGCTCAATCTTATATTTTTTAAGAATGCATAATGCGTCAGCTCTTTTCAGTTGTAGAGGTCAATGTAAATTCTGTCCCTACAAAATGTTCGTTGTGTTGACAGGCACGCAAAGAATACAGGCACGTGATTGGATAAGACAGTTTCAGTTTACAAATCATGTGCCTGTCAAAGTTTCGGAGCAAATCGACGAAAAAGATGACAAAAACGAGCCCGGCCTCTGGCATAAAGTCTTCGGAGTCTGTCTGTACTTGCTCTACCCGGGGATTCATCTAGAATCCAACAAAACATACCCAATACAATGAAATTCAATAATCAAATAACTTCAGATGGCAAAGAGATTGCTGATTTATTTGCAAAACATTTTCAGTCAGTTTATGAGCCTACATTGTTTAATAATAGATATAAAAATTTTAATGGCGTTTATGGGAATAATGTTAATATAAATTTAAACATTGGTTCACATATTATAAAGATTTCAGATATTCTTACAAAACTTGAAAATATTGAACTAGATAAGTGTAGTGGTCCCGATAATATTTCACCAAAATTTCTTCGTAATTGTGCTTTTTCATTGTCGAGACCTTTATGGCTAATTTTTAACTCCTCGTTATGTAAGGGTGTTATTCCTGCAGTCTGGAAAACATCATTTGTTAGCCCTATATTTAAGAATTCAGGAAATAAGGATGAAATTGTTAATTATCGTCCTATTACTAAGTTTTCTTTGATTCCAAAAATGTTTGATTCTATTATAACAGATTTTTTAAATTCGCAATTGAGTAATATTAAATTCCAAATCAGCATGGATTTTATTCAGGGCGGTCAACTAACACCAATCTCATTATAGGTATATCATGTATACATTGTCAGTGCCTTGGAGCAGGGTATGACAGTAGATTCTGTTTATACTGACTTTTCCCAAGGCATTTGACAGGGTCAACCATGATTTTTTAATAGCAAAATTGTCGAATATTGGTATTTATGGTACATTTCTTTCATGGATTACTTCTTATTTACTAGATCGAATACAGATGGTTATAATAAGGGGCGCATATTGCTCCAATATTATTTAATATATTTGTCAATGACATTTCAAAATGTTTTCACTTTTGTGAATTCTCAATGTTTGCGGATGATCTGAAGATTTTTAAGTCCATTAAAACCACTCAAGATGTTTTTGAGATGCAGAAGGATCTGGATAGATTTTGTGTATGGTGCATTGAAAATAATATGTTCATAAACACTGGTAAATGTAAATATAAATATTTGTTTTTCCAAGATCTTTGAATGTCATAGCTAGTGCTATAAATAAATCTTTTTCGGAGGGTACTTTTCCATCTAGCCTTAAGGATGCTCTAGTTGTTCCGATACACAAAGAAGGTGATACTAAGAATCCATCAAATTATCGGCCAATATCATTACTATCAACAATCTCTAAAATTATCGAGAAACTGGTCAAAAAACGTATGATGGACTTCTTGACAGAGCACAATATTTTTAACACCGCACAATTTGGCTTTTTACCAAAGAAAAATACGCATAATGCTATGCTTCGAATAATTCAGCAACTTTTTAAACACTATAATGATGGGCAAGCTACTGCGGCAGTGTTCTGTGACTTCTCAAAGGCATTTGACTGTGTTAGTCACGGGATACTGCTGCAGAAGTTAGAGGTGTATGGTTTAGCGGGAAATGTCTTGAGATGGTTTCGCTCGTTTCTAACTAACAGAACACAAAGTGTCTCAGCAAACAGCAAGAGTTCCTCTAAACAATCTATTGACTTTGGTGTACCACAAGGCCCAGTTTTAGGTCCAATTTTGTTCCTTATTTATATCAATGATCTTCTGCACCTTGATATATCCGGAGTTATTGCTGCTTTTGCTGAAGATGCCACAATTACCTGGCACAAAAAAGACACAGATGATCTAATCGAGATTATATCTAGAGACGTTGGATTAATTAAACAGTGGTGTGATGCGAACGGTCTACTATTCAACTTTACCAAAACTCAGGTACTTGGATTCCGGTGTAACATAGATGATATAGCATTTGACCACTTTTCCATCAAGAGTACTTTGTCTACCAAATTTCTTGGCCTACACATAGATGCTGACCTAAAGTTTCAAAATCACATAATCTCCCTCAACAAAAAATTAGCATCTGGTTGTTATTGCATCAGGACAGTTGCTGAAAACCTAGGTACACCTGTAGCAAGAACAACATACTATGCTGTAATCCATTCCCATCTTTCCTACGGATTACCATTCTGGGGTTGTTGCAGTCATTATCTTGCTGATTCAGTCTTCAAACTTCAAAAACGCGCCATCCGTTATATGGCCAAGGCTCCTCTTAGATCCCATTGCAGGCCTCTTTTCATTACTCATCATAAAATACTTACCTTACCTTGCTTATTTATCCTGGAGACAGTAAGTCTAATCCACAAAAATATTTCCATATTTCCTGCACTTCAAGCCAATCGTCCTACTCGACAAAATACTAATATACCTCTTCCGATTCCTCATTCAACTCTCGTTAAAAGATCCATTATCTATGATAGCATTAAAATTTACAATCATCTTCCTTAATTTTTAAAGCAAATCTCTGAGCTCTCAAAGTTCAGAAAAACAGTTAAAGATGCACTACTGTTGCAGGCATTTTATTCAATTGATGAGTACTTTAATGTGTCCTAAACACCTAAGTAGGTAGGTTAACAAGTGGAGAAGTGTGTTACATTCCTGATTACAAAATAGCCTCTCAATATTGCAGAGAGGAGGGCTATGGGGGTACGGTAATCCTTATTCATAAAGATTTTTTTGCTCAGTATGAAATAATATGCATCGATTCTTTCAACAATTTAATTATTAGAAACCATTTCGAATTTTCCCTTGTTTATGTAAAGATACTGGATGTCTTTGTTGTTTGTGTATATAGACCCCCTTCTGGTAGTCCGGATACATTTTTGGAAGGTCTCGAGGCCCTCCTGCACAAATTCTCGATTTCATCTAGAATCGTTCTTGCAGGAGACTTTAATATTGATTACGAAAGTCCTGACTCAAAAGACACGAAAGCGTTAATAGTTTTATTAACCTCCTTCAACCTGAAAGTGTTCGTCAATGAACCAACGCGTATAACAAAACATTCAGCTACTGCAATTGATTATATATGCAGTAACGCTGATTTTGGTGAGATGAACTGCAGAGTGGTGGCCTCGGGACTTTCTGACCATGAAGCTTTGGCGGCGGAATTGACTTTGTCTGATACATTACGAAAAAAGTCCGTAGTCAGGCGTAGGATATATAGCAAAAAAAATTTTGAAAGCTTCAAAAGACATGCAAGTCAATTTAATTGGAATCGCTGTTTGATTTCAGACGATCCAATGCGTTCCTTTCAATCAAATGTGTCAGATATTTTCAAAAAAAGTTTTCCTCTCCGAAAAATTAAAACGAAAACTAAAAAAGGCTGGCTTAGCAAAGGTATCAAGAATTCAGGGAAAAATATGCGATCTCTTCACACAATTAGAAAGTTTACAGATAACCAATCATTTATACGGTATTTTAATGGGTATCGGTCTGTGTACAGGCGGGTCATAAGGGAGGCAAAGAATAAATATTACAGGAAAAGGATTGATAAAGCCGAAAATAGAAGCAGAGAATATTGGAAAATAATTAATGAGTTAAGGGGTAAGGAAGCGAAGCCAAAAGAATTACTTAATGTTAGCCCACAGAAGCTTAATAATTTTTATGTCTCGGTCGCTGGTAGATTAACCCAGGGTTTAGATTCTCATATCGATCCTCTTGCTTATCTTCAGCCTATTGCGCATTCGATTAGATTTGAGTTTAAATTGGCCAATAAAGAGAAAATTAAAAACTGTATTAAATCAATAAAAAAACAGAATGCGTCAGGACTCGACGAAATTTCTGTAAAGATTTTGAAAAACCTACCAGACATCGCGCTTGAGGTGCTGGTATCATGTATAAATTCGTCTTTAACAACAGGAATTTTTCCTCCATGTCTTAAGTCAGCGATAGTTATACCAATCTTTAAAGGGGGCGATAGCTCTGACCACAGCCTCATCGAACTATAGGCCGATCTCTCTAATGAGCACCCTTTCTAAGATCATGGAAAAAATTGTTAGGGAGCAACTGATTGACTACTTGAATGAAAATAACATCCTGAGTCAAAACCAGTTTGGCTTTCGGGAGTCCAGGGGCACGGGTGATGCCATGTTTTCATTTTTGGAGAGTTTGTACCTTGGTTTGAATGGAGGA